CGGTCGAGGGCGCGTAGGTTTGGCGTTCGATCATGGGCCCCTGGCACACCGCAACCTTCCATCTCTCGCGCCGGAGACCGCCCGAAACCGCCGAAAACCGTCAGAAGACCGCCGACGACTCACCGAAGATCGTCGAAGACTGCCCAGGAGCTATGGGTAACAAGGCGTCCATAGTCGAACACGTAGCTTTCGGCACGTTGTGGTCGAGTCAGTCTGGTATTTCGCATTAAAGTGCCAGGGCGTGTTCTTGGACGCCATTTTTGGGTCTTGCTGCCGATGAATGTCACAAACTGGACCCATGCCGAGAGTCAATTGACAGCGCGCCGCGCGGATGTTTATGCCGCTGGCGTTCAGGAACGTTGTCGTGCTCCCGAAGGTCTAGAGGCTGCCGTGCATAGTGCACGTCGTCTGGGCTTGCATGCCCTGTTGCACGCATCGGTTCGCGCGTCCTCTGGAGGTCTCAATTCTGGGGTTGCCTTGGTCTCTCATTACTCCAATTGTTTCTCGGGCGCACCCCTGGCTGCGACTACGCCGCCCCGTCCTGGCCGCTGTATAGCGCAGGCATAACGTGGCCTGGTGAACGCGGGCGATCCCTGGACCAACTTGCATCTGCGCGCGGGGGGCGGAGCGGCCGGCAGGAATGCGCAGCTGTCGTTGCAGGTGGCAGCCGTTGTTCTTCTTATTGGGACCCCGTCTCTTACCCCTGCAGATTGGAATATCCCCTCCGTGGAATTGCCCTGGCGGTCACACTTACGAGAGCGCAGGTGGCATGTCCAAGATAGATTCTTCGTGGTCCATCACGTTTGTTTCAGGCTTCGGCTTCGGGCCAGGTGCCGCGCGCGCCCTTGGTTCCCGCGCGTCGACCTGCAGCCATGCATATTTAATGTTCAGCGGGAAAGGATCTGCTCACTATTTGTCGGAGTCCCCCCCGCAATTCCTGTTCGGAGGCCCATTGGGCGTTCTCCGTCCCCTTTCGAGTTGGGATTGGTCTCCCCAGGGCGCAGCAGACTTTGGCGCCTCTCTGAGCTATAGCGTTGCAACTCGAAGTGTCTGAAGTCCTCGGCTTCGGTGTTGGTTGGAATGCATCAACTTCCTGGTCCAGCAGTCTATGGGAAGCGGGGTGAGCACCCGTCAGTCCTTGAAGGTGCTGCGTTGTCGTTTTTCTCTTGGTGGCGCGGCTTCCTGCGTGGAAAGCAAGCTTCGGGGGCCCCTTGCAAATCGCTCGGGCAGTTTGCCGCGCCTGGCGCAGAAACAATTGCGGGGTGCTCCTGCTGTCTCAGCGGGGAAAGTCCGACGAGATTGCCCGTCCAAATGAGGGGCGAGCCCCCCCCCCCCCCCTGACAGGCCACGGCGGCGCTCTCACGCGCGCCGACTAGAGCAGTTAGAGTTGGACGCTCTCCCTCGGCCGAAGGAGTCTCCGCCAGGCACGGCCTTTGTTTTTGAAAAGGCAGCATATGCGAAGCGTTATCGGAGCTGGCGTGCGCGGGCGATGCCATGTGTCGAGCAGTCTGGGGGATCTGGTGCTCGCCGCTCTGTCAAAGGCAGCGTGAAAGTGAACACTGTCGATGCGATTCAGATGCTTTCCGTGGATGGCCAACTTCTAGGCGCCCCAGCCCGCCGTCTTAGGGGGCAGTACTGGCGCGGGGCGGGGGGGCGCACGGCGCCCTTTGGGCCGCGCGACGATCCACGCCGCGCGACGGACCACAGCCCCACCCTAACGTCCGCAACCCGCCTCCAGACCTCCCTGCGTATCCAGGCCACGGGGTCGCTGGCAGCTGTGCCAGCTCCGACCCCGTGGCCCCAAACAGCAACAAGGCGCCCATATGCAATCAAGAACGCAAACAACTCGGCAGCGGGCGCAGTCTGGAACAGGGATGGGAATGGCCCGTGGAGCCTGGCGGCATCCCGAAACTCCCCGTCCAAAGACGAAAGCCCCCAACCGCATCTCCGAGGGCGACCAAACCTGCCGTTGCACCCCGGAGCGTCGCCGAAGACATGCACTTCAAGGAGGTCCTCCGAGCGACCGGCTCAAGCAACCTTTTCGTCCAGGCATGGATTGGAAGACGACCGCGCTGGGCCTGGCAAGAGTGCTTGTCCAGATGAGGCGCTGGTCGGCCGCGCCTCCAGTTCGGACTGACATCTGGGTCGCGAGCTGGTATTCAACCGAATGTGCACGCCTAAACTCGTCGCGAGCGGGGCAACCTGAGCCAGCCCGCGCCGATCGGCCCACCGCGCCACAGGCTTCGCAAGGTCGATCCTGAAACCAAAAACCTCCCGCAAAAAGGCACTCGAGGAGCCCTCCGTAATTGGGGGCCCCTTCGGGCCCTGGAAGAGCGGTGGGGAAGGGCAACGGGGCCCCGATGGATTCGAAGGGCGGAGGCCGTAGGGCACTTCTGAAACCATAAATGGGGCATGGACCGATCCTGCTGCTAAAACCATCTCTCGGCGGCCTCGTCGGCAAGCTTCGCCCCGCCATTTGGCGACATTTGCCCGGCCAAAACTGCACCGCGCTGCGCGTGCCATTTAATTGGGTTTTGGGCAGCCCATCCGAGTCTGGGCATCGCGCCCACGGGGGCCGAGGTGGGTGCCTGCACATTGAACCAAACGCGGCACTCGGGAATCTAGGAAAATCTAACCCACGCAACGCTCAATATGCAACGCGCGTCAGAACGCGGCGCGCAACCGCCCCGCAGGGCCTGCAGACGCACGCAGATGGATCGGAGCCCTGCCGCAGCCGAAAGCTGGGTCGACCTGCCGACCCGCAAACATGGGGTCGAGGGTGAGAGACCGGCCTGTGCGACGGAAACACATCCGATTCTGGCAAGCTGGCGCGCTTTCAGAAGATGGGCAAGGACGACTCCGTGAACCCGAACAGCCCAGAGCGTGCCAAGTTCGAGGCCACTCTAAACCAGCTTCAGAATAGTTCCCCCAGCTACGGCCATCCTCTTACACCTAGGAATTCGACAACTCATTGTTCCAAGCCGCTGGGCCCGCACAACATGTAGGAGACGGTGCCCACCGCCAAAGTCCAGCACGAGGTTCCGAACGCTCCCGGTGAGGATGCGGTCGGAAGAAGGGGGCCAAATTCGTGGCGGCCCTTCCGGCGCCCTGGCACTGAGCGGCCAGATGCTTTTTGGGCAGGGGGATGGTGAGACCGAACTGCTGGAGCTCCCCGGCCAGGAGGCATTCAGCCATGAGCCGCCTTGAGGTCATGCGCCCCGCCCCCCATGCCTGCCCGAATCTCTGGAGCTGCAGGTCGCCAACCACTATGGCCAACTGCATGCGGGGGCACTGCGGTGCGCAACGCCAGCGCACGCAGGACACGCAAGCACGAGCCGAAACAGGGGCGTCGCACATCTGCAGCCCGAAATGACGGCGCGGGCGGTTGAAACGCTCTCGGTCGCGATCCCTTTCGAACATCATCATTCGATCGAACGAATGCGTGGCCGAAGGGGGCTTCAGAGTCTGGTCGCGAAACCGATTCCGACCAGCTCATAAACAATCGCGCGATGAGGCGCATGCTGGTGCGTTTTCAGCAGGAGCCTGATGCAGCGCCTCGGTCGCCAGCCAGCTCCGCCCTAAGACTTTGCATCCAAACGCATATAGCCGGGAACGAGAAGCTAGCACCACGGAAACTAGGAAATATCTAGCACTAGCTGGTGTTTGTGATCATTTGTTCGGCCCCTTTTCGGGTTCCCAAACGTGGGCTCTCCGGATTTGAACAATGGGCCCAGGCACCCTGTGTTATTTTTCCATGGGGGGGATTGTGATATCGTCTTCCCGGGGAGGGGGGTGGCGCGCGGATGGCGCACGCTGAATGGCGCCTGTGGCCAGCCCCGAGCACGCCTCTCAACGCGCGCGACACGCATTGCAACGCAGACGCATGTTTGTCTCATGTCTTACAGAAGATGCACTGCACATGTTTTGCACATTCTTTCCACAACAACACAAACAACGCATGACCTTAAACACTGCGACGGCGGCTGGAACATGGGGTTGCGAACGGGAGATTTGCTCGCCCAGTTGAAGACGAGGTGGGGGGCGAGGAGGATGAGGAGGAGGTGGGAGGCGATGGGCCTCAGGAGGGGTCCACGGGCCGATTTCGAGCCGTCAGGCTCCCCTGGTCTCTTCTTCCAAATCGCGGCGCCTCCTCCTCCCTCTCCTTCTTCTCATCCTTCTCACCGTCGCATGCCCGGGCCGTGCTACCCCCCCCCTTCCCATTGTCGTCGGCCTCGCCCTCGTCCTCGCCCTCCTCCTCCTCCTCCTCCTCCTCCTCCTTCCGTAGCCATTTTGGCTCAAGTCCGTCCCCTCCGTGGGATCTCGGACTTGGGCCGAAATGGGTTCCACAGCTGTCTCGCCCAAGGCCTCCTGGCCAAGCGCAGCGCCGCCCGCCGCCGGCGGCCGCGTCTCCATATGTCCATGCTCGCGCACGCTCGGGTGATCCCGATCGGCCTGGCGCTGCTGCAGCTGCTCGCGCTGTTCTCGCTGCACAGTGGCCTAGCGGTGATGCCCCACTGCCGATCGCAGGCCGCGGCTCATGCTCGCCAATGCCGTACGATGCAGCTGGGATTCAGTCGTCGCCCCCTCCGTGTACCTCTTCGGCTTCACGATCTACTTCCACCTGCTTGTGCACGTCACTTGCCGACCAAGCTCATCCCGCTCTACCCGCTGGGCGTCTGCGGCAGCCATGAACTCCAAGAGGTTGCGGACTTCATCCAGCGGCGTCGTGTGCAAGATGGGCCCCATGATGGTGCTGGACCTCTGCGCGCTGCGCTGCCCGTCCGAGCTGACCTACGTCACGGAGCTGGCCCTCTGCCACCACCCGCACGTCAAGAACACCGCGCTGCTGACCGCGACGCCGATGGTGTCGCTGACGCTCTACTGCATGACTTTCGCCACGTTCCTGGAGCCGCCCTTGGCCGTGTTCCCCGTGGCGATGCCGCGCCTGAAGCTCTTTGCAACGGTGCTGGACCGCTTCCCCAATACGTTCGTTCCTCCACATGGAGCTGGGCCTCTTCCTCGGCGTCGCGCTGGCGCTCCTGAGCCTGCTCTGCATCCCACTGCCGCTGGTGGTGCTCATCCTCGTGACGCTGGTGATGTTCCCGATGCTCGCCGGCCCGTCGTGCATGCCGCTGCCGCTGGTGGCGCTCAACCTCGTGATGTTCTTGTTTCGCGAGCCGCCGCTGCTGGCGGCGCCCGACCTCGTGCTGCTGGCGATGTCCGCGCTGCTCTCCGTCCACTTGTCCGCGAATGGCATCGAGCTCCACGGCGCAAGACGCTACTCCAGAATAGGCCGCTCATACGCTGCTTCGACGCGTGGCTCGACCTTGTGGAGTGCGACCTGACAGTAGAGGACACTGCTGCCCGTGATGATGCCGCCGCTGGTGGCGACCCAGTCCCCGAAGACACCGCCGAGCGCGGCGAACAACATGTTCTCGCAGCCGCCTTGCGTGGCGTCTTTCCCGTACAAGATCTTCCTGACCATGATCGTGGAGCCGCTGCTGCTGCCCACCCCGACTGGGCTGTCCCAGGCGCCAAGTTCTTGCGACGCTCGGACACCATCCAGATCAGCGGCTGCAGCTGGTCACATCATAGCTTGGCGAATGAATTGGTTTGCACCGCAGCGGAGCTGCAGCATGGTGTTCTGCATGATGTTGCACGGGCCGCCCTGCCGCCTGGAGTGGCTGCTGCTGTTCCCCACGACCTCGCCGAAGCACATGCACGTGATGTTGATTTCGACCGCGCATGGGGAACCTGCTGGGACTACGTACGCAAGGAATGGCACGGATCGGCTGCGCCCATCCCTCACAACCCGAAGCAGCCCTGCATGATGATGCACGCGCGCTTCTGCCGCCTGGCGTGGCTGCCGCTGCCCATGAGGCCCCCGCGCCCACCCGCCGATGTAGCCCTGGCCCCCCCGCGCGGCTCACCTCGCCCCGCTCGCCCTTGTCGCCCTTCCCTCTTATTCCTGCTTTCCCAGCTCTCCACCAGGATCCTCACGATTTACATCCCGTTCCTAGTGCATGGCCCGATGCCCCTCGCAGCATGCCCGTGGCCAGAGCGACGAGCGCTGACGACCGCGCGCTGGAAGTAGGCTGAGCGCGAGCTGCGGCGAGACCCGAGCAGACATCTTGCCCTCGTCTCGCGTCTTGCCCGCTTGCCTTCGTCTCTTCCTCTTGGGATACGGTCACTCCTCCTCCTCCTCCTCCTCCTCCCCATGTTCATCTTTCTCCTTTTCCTCTTCCTCCTTCCCCCCCTTTCCTCCCCCTCCCCCTCCTAGCCATTTCGGCTCAGATCTTTGTGAGCTGGGAGGTGCAAACTTCGAAGCGGCACAGTGCATCTCCGAGCCAGTGGCGTGGTCTGTTCTGAAAATCAGCGAATGGTTCGCAACGGCAGCGGGCGGCGCAATCAGGCGCGGGCCAGCTGGAACAGCGGCCGCGGCGGTTCGAGCGGGCGCGAGCGCTGGCCCGACCGAGGCTGGACCTCTTCGGGCGCCGACCGAGTCGGGCCTGGCGCCCCCATGCCCCCAGCGCCGCCGCAGCCGCCTCGCCGCCGCCGATGGAAGCGACTCGCGCGGCTGCCGCGAGAACCTTCAGGCTTGGGCATCTTGCAAACATAGCGGAGCTGTACGTCCTGATGCAGGTGGCTCTCATCAGTCTGGCGGCCCTCGTGATGTTGCTGGCAGCTGGCCCGCCTTCCCATATCGCCCTGGGCCGCTGCTCATGGCTCCCCAGCCTAGGGGCAGCGTTCTGCCTGGTAGTAAGTTGCCCGCTCAGGAGCTGCGCGCCACGGTGGAGCGGCGCATGCGCGTCGGGGACGCAATGGCTTCAACAAGTGGCGGGCTGAGCTGTTCAAAGTGGAACCGCCCGCTGTCGCTCCCGAGCCCGTTCAGGCCAGGGCTTCGGAGGCTCATGCTCGCATCTAGCAGCTGGAGCGAGTTCTGGCGCGGGATGTCGGGGGGCTCGAGGAGACCAAGCAGCACCTCGAGTCGCAGCAGGTGCCGGTGCTGGAAGCCAAGAGCAACTTTGGCGACGCTGACGGGCGCTGCAAGGTTGCGGCTGGAGTAGCACAGGGACCATTCCTCAGCCGTCGCCTCCCGCGCCCGGGCCTGCACCTCCCAAGCTGCTCCAGCCGGGGGATATCGCCTCTGGCCAGGCGAAAGCTCTGGGATTTATCGACGCGGCCTCGCTGTTCACGATCGACACAGCCGTCTACGAGGTCACGCCTGACGACAAGGAGCTGGGCGAGCGTCGTGAGCTCCTCAATGCTCGTCCGCAGGAAATTGCCCCAGCCCTCTCTCTGGGGCCATGGGGAAGGCCCGGGGGCTCAAGCAGGCGCGCGCTGAGCACCTTCGGCGCCTCGGCCAGATGCGTCGTCGCGGAGCTGGGGGCCTGGCGGGCGCCAGCGGGGCCCGACCAGCTCATGCCGATGGAGCAGCGGCTGCAGCGGCCGCGGCGGAGGCTGAGCAGCCGCCGCCCCGGGCCCCGCCGCGGCCTGGCGAGCCCGCGGCTGCTGCGGCCCCGGGGGCCTCCTGCGGCCCCCCCTGGCGGTGGCGGGGTGCCCGTCGGCGGTGAATCCGACGATGGCGCCCTTCTTTGCGACGGAGAAGGCGCCAAAATTCGCGCTGCCAAGGTCCTTGCCGCCGCGGAGAAGCATTCAAACAAGGCAGCCCCCCCTTCTCGGCCCTGCGGCGCGAGGCCCGTCGGCCGAGAGGGGGGGGGGGGGGGGGGCACAACGTCAGCTACTACCTCGTTCAAATATTCCATGTCAGGTCGAGGTCTGCGAGCCTGCGCTCGTTGCCGTCTGCAGTCCTCTCGGCACGATTTGCCGCAGTTTTCTGCGCGATCCGTGCGCCGACGAGGCCGATCGCGCGAGCAGCGGCCGCGGGGCCGCTCCCTGTAGGAGCGCTGTGCGTTCTACCCTTTCGGCTACCCCGGCCGCCGATGCTCGTTCTGGATTCATGCCGGCAAGAAACATTCGTTTGAATCAGCCGGCAAGGCTGACCGCCCCCCATCTGCGCTTGAGATTGCGACGCGCAACTGCGCGGCATGGAGCCCGGTCCAAGACTGGCCGCTCACCGCCGCTGCCCGCGTGGCCCTCCATCGGGGGCTCCGTCTGGCGGCGGATCGGACCCCCGACGCTCAGCAGTGGGCGCCAAGGCGCGGCTGGAAGGCCCCAGCGCTGCCAGCTAAGGTTGCTTCTGAGACGGGCACCTCTGCGGGGGTAGCGGTTTTGCGCGGGCGCTTCGTCAGCCTCGTCGAGCCTCCTGGAGGCCCAGAGCTTGTCGCTCATCGTGCTACAGAAGACTTCGTGAATCTCGGAGGCCAAGGCCCCCTCTGCGTCGCCTGTTGCCACTTGCATGATTGCCGGGGCCTGTCGGACCACGGCCCGTTTATCCTCCTACTAGGCGGGGGGCCCCCTTGTCCTCCACCCTCGGTGGCTACATGATCGGTGGCGACTTTAATATGGAACCTCAGGTCTTGGGTCAATCTGAATTTGTGGAAGAGGTAGAAGCCCAAATTTTCATTTCGGGAGCTCCCGCGTGTAAATCAACGCCGGGTGCTGGCTCGAAGAGGTTTGACTACCTGGTTGCTTCCAGTGGGCATCCCAAAGTTGCGCCCCCCCCCCCCCCTCTCACTCGTCCGTGGTTTTGATGTTCCGCCCGCAACTGTATGAGCTCAAGGTGTTGGCCTTTCGCAAGCCGCCCCTTCTGCCATCCCTCGTTCCAGTTGGGCCCTTTCCTCGCCCCCCCCCCTCTTGCGATCGAATACACGTAAGAGTGGCCCTTCGCCGGAGTGACCTTTGGCGCGGGCCCATGGGGCCCCCCCGATCGCCGAACGCGACGCGGCAGCAGCGTCTTCCGCGCCCGTGTTTGGACCCCCCGCGGCCCCAAAAAAGCCGCGCACCAAAGGTCACTCTCACCCAGGGTCACTCTTGCGTGTAGCCGATGCGAGGACGGGGAGCGGCTGGCCGAGGAGGTCCCTGGGGCCGCTTGCTTGGGGCCCAGGGAAACGGAGGTTGCGCTTGCTAGGTTGCATCAGGTTCGGGCCGATAAGTCTGAGCGCCAACTCTCGGCTGCCCTCCAGCGGGTCCTTCCCAAGTTCGGATGTCGAGGTGAGGTTCCCAAAACTTGGAGGGTGGATATCCGCGGGGGCGACTGTCGCCCCTGCAGGCGCCCGCAGTTGTATAGTCTTCGATGGCAGTGCCGCGCCTTTCGAGCGTGGCGCCAGGCCAAGTGGCCACCGTCTCGGATTGCTACTCTGAGTTCCTCGGCTGCGGCAGGTGAACGAGGGTCGCGGCGCCGCGGCAGCCCCATCGGATGCCGCCCTGCACCAGAGGCCACCCCCGAGGAGGCTTGCGGGCGGGAGCCCGCCGACAGTGGAGATCGCCGTGTCTGGTCATCAGCCATATTACATCCCAGTCGGTTTATCGATGATCAGTTCAGCTCAGGTTCTCATTGTCAACTGCTGCTGGATGCCCAAGCCTTTCTCCGTCCTGCCGATCAGTTTGTGGAGCAGGCTGACACGTTGCTCGGCGCTCTCAGCGCTCAGCTGGAGTCGGCCACCCTTCTTGCTCGCCAGAGGGGGGAAAGGTCTTGGAAGGAATGGCTGCAGAGGGACCTGGGCCACGGGGCCCTCTCGGCGTACCTGTGGACCAGGCCGTGGAAGTTCGGGCCCCTTCCTCAGCCCTGTCCGCTCGGGGCCGGGCGGTGGCTGACCCTCTTGCGTTGCTAGAGGCGCAGGGCCACATATTCTCGGAGCTTTGGCTGGCGGATGCATCGGTCGAGGATTCCGATGCGGCGTGTGATTTCGATTCCCTGGAGCCCTTGCCCTGGATTGCGCCCGACCAGTTGCGATCCGCCAGCCGTGAGTATTCGGGGAGATCGGCGGTTTCGGCCGACGGATTTCGAATGCGTCACTTCAGCAGCCTGTGCGACAGGGCCCCGAGAGTCCTGGCCTGCGTTCTAGCTTTTTTGCGAAGGACCACCCTCGTTGCCACTCCAGATCCGCCTCGCGATGCTGGCTATGCTGCAGAAGCCCATGGGGTGGGGGGCTTCGCCCCATGGGGATCTTCGGGGCCCCGTGCCGTGCCCGCGGTAAAATACGTCGCTCCCATGCCCCATCCTGGGAAGTGGTCGTAACGGTTTCAAGAGTGATCCGGACGTGGTCTGGAGGCAGACCCTCAGGAGCGAAACAATTGTTCGACGTGGCGAGCATGCCGCGTCAGTTCTGCGGGGCTCGTGCAAGTTTTACGAGTTGATTGATCTTGAGGCCCTGGCCAGTGGGCGCTGTGACCTCCAATTCTTTCGAGCAATCTCGCAATTCTGCATCAGTTCCTACGAGCCACGAGGTTCATCGACATTTATGGCTTTACCTCGGGACCGTTCAGGGCTTTTAGAGGAGTTGTGGCAGGTTGGACCATGGCTATCACGTTCGTGCATATCACTACATTCGCACCTTCACCTCCATTGGCTTACATCCCTCGGCGCCCCTCGACCTCTTCATCGATGACATTGGCCCGGCAGCACGCGGCATTTTGTCCTCCATGTTGCAGGGCCTCGAGCATGGCGCGGCGGAGGTTAACAATGCCATCGTTCTCGATTTGAAGCGTCAGGACTCTCCGGATATAGTCGGCGCTATTTCGAGCTTGTCCCAGGAGCGGCCGCCTCCTGCAGGATTGGTCAAGCATTTACCCGGGGCCTGGAGGTAAGTCTTCTTCGGTAAACCTCGGAATCGACGACGCGGCTGGTAAACCTAGGAGGCGTCGCGGTCGCGCGCCCAAGCAGCGTCGTCGCAAGATGCAGTTCGAACACAGGGTTCGTCGCATCGCTCGCCAGAAGAAACTCTCGGGCAGATCGGCCTCTCGTCCGTTTATTTCTGGGTCTCTACCTGGCACGAAGCGCGGGGCCGAAGTGCGCGGCGCCCGCGACTCAGAGTTGCAATCTATTCGCGTCGCCGCGGGCCGCTGGCTGTCAAATGGGGAACCGGTTGGAATGGGGTTTGCATGGGCTTCGCCAGGGGCCAGGGTGGATCCGCAACTTAGGATGCAACGGAGTTTGGACTCTTGATCGCGCTGGTAGTCTTGGCTACGTCATCTCAGAAGAGTGCACGTTATGTCCTCTTTGTTGTGTTGAACGAGACAGTATCCATCATGGGCCATGGGTTTGCAAAGCCTGCAGTGAAGAAGGGAAAGAAATAGCCGCGGCTTTACTTCGCGCCGATGATCGGCTTATGTTCTGTCGCGGGGTGTCCGAGCGCCACGCGGCTGTCTGGCCCGCGCCGCTCGCGACGGGGGGGGGCGATTCGATCGGAAGGCTTTCCCGAGGGTGGAAACGGCGACACGGCTGGTAAGGTGATTTTCGATGGGTCGTGTTTCAGGCATCCTATTGCTGATCTCTGCCGCGCAGGTTAGGGGCTCACGCGCGCCGATGACGAGGGCAATCGGTTCTCTTCGATCTATGGGGCCTGCGCGCAGCCCTCTCCCACAGTCTGCGCCGGCCGCCGAATTTAAGGCGCTCGCCGTGGCTAGCGCGCAGACGGTTGCGACTGCTCACGGTTTCTCCGACTGCCTTGCAGTAGTGAAGCACTTCAGCCTGCCAGCTGCTGAGCGTTTGAGTTACGAGCGTAAATATACCCCCTCCTCAGTAGCGTCGACATGTCGCGCACGCACCAAGGTCCTGATGAGGATGGCATCATCCCAGCCGAGAGAGCCAACTGGCGCGGTAATGGCCACGCTGACGAGGCTGGGGCTGGAGCCGCTCTGCACTCCAAGCCGTCTGTTGAAGTTGACTGCCGCCTCGCGCACATGATAGCCGTCGCTACAACTGTTTGTCGTCTGGCTGCTGCTCTGCTTCCTAAGTGGCCCAGGCTCGATTTGTCTGACTGCGAGCTCGAAAAGAAACTTCGGGACCCTGGTGGCCAGGCCTTGCTCCAGGGCCACTCTTGGGGCCGCCGTGGGCAGTTCTTTGCGTTCCCAAGGGGTTCGCTCGATTGTGGTTCCTCTTCCTGGCCGTTGCTCTGGAATCCAAGCCGTTGAGCGCGCGAACCTTGACGAGGGTGGCCGTCTTCGTTACAATGTAGTAGTTCTAGCTTGTTCTGATCAAGTTGACTGCCACCTTTGCTTAGATTGCGGCGCCTTTTTGCACCGAGGCCATTTTTCGAGGAGTGGGATCCCTGCGCTTTGTCCACAGAGGGCGGCAAGGCATGGTCGCGCTAATTTCAACAAGTGCACATCTGGTTTGCATCCGCGAGAGCAGCACCTCAGAATCGACCCCCTTCTCTCGAGCCCCCTCCTCCCCCTCCTTCGGCGGTGGGCGAGGGCGAGCTGGAGGGAGCGCCAACGGGTCTTTCTGGCATGGTCTGGACGGCCAGTCTTCGCATTCTCTGTCCTCGGATTTCTCCGACGACTCCGACTGATCGTCCGCCCTCTGCCCGACAGCCCAGGTGTTGAGGCCCCCCTCCCGCGCAGGCGTCCTCCGATCCCGCGCGCCGCGAGCTCCTGTTTAGTCGGGCCGCGGGGGCGCGGGGGGGGAACCTGACGGGCGCATCCACCTAGCGTTTCTTGGCTTGTGTTACTGCTCACTGTTTCCTGGGCGCGCTTTTTGCGCCGTCGCCGAGGGCTGTCGTGAGGGCCGTGGCGGGCGTAGTGGGTTCGATCTGAGGCCCTCGTGCCACCCTTTTCACTGCCGCGCCAGCTTCGGTTCTCTCCCCGCTGTTGCACGGCCGCGGGGTGCTGAAGGTGATTATCCCCCTGCGGCGTCGGTTGCTCGGCGGGGCAGCCCGCAGGCGGCATAATCAGACGTCGTGCCGAGACGGGCAGTGGGCTCGATCTGGGGCCCCCGCGCCGCCCCTTCCAGTGCTGCCCCCGCTCGGCCTCTCCCCCGCCGTTGCCGCCCGCAGGGTCTGAAGGTCTTCCCCGCGGGTCTTGGCGCGGCGGGTGCATCTAGAATGGCTCGTTCCCGCCGTTTCCGCGGCGCCGCGGGACTGGCAGCCTTCTTCATTTGTTTCCGTCCTTTCCGCCCTTTTCTTTTTCCCGTCTCGGCGCGAGTCCCCCCGCAGTGGCCGCGACGTCAGCGGCGGGGCAGGCTGGCGGAGCAAGTGGCAGCGTTATATATACATATATATATATAGGAAGAAAAAACGCGAGCTCCACCCAGCCCTGCCCCTTCCTCTGGGGGGAGGCGCCGTCCTCCCAGGGTGTGTTGGCAGACGCGCGGATGTCATAAAATCGCCCTCCTCCCCCTCCTCCTCCTTCGTTTTCCCCCTCTCCTTCTCCCCGCCCCCCCTCCCCCTCCTCCTTCTCTCCTCCTCCCTCCTCCTCCTCCTCCTCCTCCTCCTCCTCCTCCTCCTCCTCCTCCTCCTCCTCCTCCTCCTCCTCCTCCTCCTCCCCCCCCCCCCATCCACTTCTTCCTCCTCCTCGTCCTCCTCTTCCCCTTGCCCCCCTCCTCCTCTGTAGAGAATGTAATCCAACATCCGACAGGTGGCGGCTCGGAAGTGGGAGAGGGCCAACAGGAGGTCTTAATTAGCCCATCGGTCTGGTGGAGGCGTGTTTGAAACGGCATATGCCCAGGCCCTTCGGGCCGAGCTAGCTGGCTACTGGGCTACCCATGATGGAGGTGTCCTTTGGGACGCATTCATTATTCCGAGAACGCCAACAGGAAGAGACGGAAGTCTCGGACCATATTTTCGTGCTTCTCGGAGCCGCTTCTTTGCATCATGATGAACCAGTATGGGGGTGTTCGGGTAGTTGCCACTAAGGCCCTGGCTATGTACGCAGGGTGCGCCACCAAAAGTTCCCTTGCTGTTTGTTCACTTGCTACCGCCCGCATGCGTCCCGGAAACACAATTTGGCATTTACACTTACCCAGTACAGCGTTTCGTCGCTTCATAGGGAGCTCCACCGAAGTCCCCAGTGGTACCGCCCGCATGCGTCCCGGAAACACAATTTGGCATTTTCACCCACACAGTACACCGTTTCGTGGCCCCATGGGGAGCTCCGCTGAACCCCCCAGTGGGACCGCCCGCATGCGTCCCACACACACCCCAGTTTTGCATTTTCACCCACCCAGTACAGCGTTTCGTGGCCCCATAGGGAGCTCCACCGACGGCCCCAGTGCTACCGCCCGCAAGCGTCCCCCCCCACCCAGTACATCGTTTCGGAGCTCCATAGGGAGGGAGTTTCACCGAAGAAGATATTCACAATTGCGGTGCCCACAACTGTATATGGTTGGGTCTTTCGCCAGGATAATTTTGGGCGCGTGGTGATGGGTCAGCTTGTCCCCTGGCCTCGGAAAGCTAGTGTAAAAGTGGGGCTCCGTGGGGAGTCTTGCTTGCCAGAGCGCTTGAGAGCGGGAGGTGAAGTGTGTTGGAACGAGAAGGTTTCAGACCAAGGTTTGCTTCCCTCCGCAGCCGTTCTTGCTGAAGCCTGGGCCCCCTCGCTCCACCCGAGCCCCGGCAAGCTCACCGAGCTCCTCCGGCACACTCGAGCGCGATGGTGGCCGCTCGCTCCAGGCTGCTCTCCGTAGCTGTCCTCCTGGCTGCGGGCGCCTTCGTGGCGACCACCTTCGTGCCCCCGCCCGCTGCAGCACCTCGGGCGCCGCCCTCCGACTTGGCTCCGGCGCAGCACGCTGCGCTGCTCGGGGTGGCGGCGGCGGCCGTGCCAACAGCGGCGCATGCGGCCAAGGCGTTCGACCCGGTGGATGTCATCTTCAGGCTGGTCGCGCTCGTGGCCGTCCTTTTGGGGCCCATTATCGCCTTCTTGGGCTTGCAGTTCATCCTGCCCCAGGCCGACATGTCGAAGTGAGCATGGCACCGCCCCAGGAGTTGGTCTGAGGGTGGGGCGGAACAGCAGTTCGGGCGTCGCTGGACTGGGGATGTGCGAGTCCTGCCGCAGGCGCACCTACGGTGGCGCGCCCTGCCGCAAGCGCACCTACGGTGGCGACAGGCGATGACGTGCCCGCAGCGGGCTGTAACATTTTTCGGAGTCGAGAGTCTTTGCGCAAAAAATAACTTGGGCTGCCTGCAAGGAGGATAGAGCCAGAGATTGCTGGTGTACGGGAACCGTCAGGTACGAGGTGTTCATATCTGCCCACATGCCGAATATAGCTCACGGAGTGGGATCGATCACACTATCGATCATGCTATCGATCTCGCTGTCGGTCTCACTATCGATCTCACTATCGACCTCACTATCGATATTGCCATCGATCTCTCTGTCGGTCTCACTATCGATTTCACTGTCGATCCCGCTATCGATCTCACTCGATTGATCTCACGATCGATCTCACAAACGATCCGACTATCGATCTCACAGTCGATCACACTACCCCTCCCACTATCGATCTCACGATCGTCCCCACAAGCGATGCCACTATCGATTACAGGATCGAACTCAGCAACTTGCAAACCTGCAGCAGGTACGGTGGAGCACATGCCGTCTTGAAAATGGGGCCTTCGCTTCAGCAACGCTCACATTCGTCTTATGAGTTTGCAGCATTTCCAGGGATAGAGGCCGGCTCCTTTTCGAAATGGGGCCCCCGCCTTAGCGCTTCTCACATCCGTCTTAGACGCTCGCAGCAGTTACAGGGATGGAGCACGCGCCGTGTTCACCATAGGGTTTTCGCTTTAGCGCCACGCGCATTCTTCTGACGAGTTTGCAGCCACTGCTCGGCAGGGAGAACAAGTATCAATGTCTCGCTGCCGGTGGTAGCCCGTCATCGTGTTATTCTCTCTTGTTGTCCGATTGCTTGCTGTTTTTCCATCAGTAGCACGATGATGGGTTCCCCACGGCGGCGTGGCATTGCTACTGGTGCTGCTTCCCGACCTACATGGATGGAGGACGTTTGTTCTGCCCAGCAGTGTGAACAGCTGTCACAGACGGAGGGCGGCTCATATTCAGCACAGGGCTCTCGGTGGGGACTTGATCGAAGTTTCGTGGTTAGAAGCGTAAGCTTGTGCAACTGTTACACAGATTAGGGTGGTCTTGTTCAAAACAGGGATTATGCTGACCACCTCGTCGAGCTTAATCAAAGACGCCTACGGCACCACCTCGTCAAAGACCACCTCGTCGATGACCACCTCGTCGTCACCGCCACCCCCTGCCTTTTGCAATCGCCCATGTGGCCGAGCGTTGTGGCAAGAGCTCTGCCAATATGTCGGACCATGTGTCCCCCAAACCGTTGTGCAAACCTTTCGGGGAACACTTGGGGGAGGATGGCGGGGCGGATCAGGAGGAGGAGGAGGAGAAGGAGGAGGAGGAGGAGGAGGAGAAGAAGAGGAAGGAGGATGGGGCATCTTGGGAGCATCTGGGGGCACTCTTGGGGCCTCCTGGGAGCTTCCTAGGAGCCTCTTGGAGGCATCTTGGTGGCCTCCTTGGGCATCTTGGGGGCCTCTTGGGGGCTTCTCGGGGACCTCTTTGGTCGTCTCAGAGCAGTCCTTGCTCGTCTGACGCCGTCGGAAGCCGTCTTCGGGGCCTCTCTGAGCCGACTGGGGGCCCTCTCGGGGTGCTCCAGGGCCTTCTTGGAGGCCATTTTGTGCGTCTTGGAGGCCTCTTGAGTCGTCAGGGGACTCTTGGGCCGTATTGGGGGCCTCCTGGGCCGTCCTGGGGCCGTCCTGGAGGCCTTTTTGGCGATCTTTCGGTGCTCTTGGGCCGTCTCGGGCCGTCGGAAGGCCGAAAAGAAGCAAATACCCACATCCTTCGAGCACCTAAGGAACATCCACTATTTGGGCCTCTTCGGGCCTTCCTGGAGGCCCTCTTGGAGGCCTCTTGGGCCGTCTTGGAGACCTCTTCGGGGCCTCGTGGGCCGTCTTGGGCAGTCTTAGAGGCATCTTGGGCAGTCTTGGTGGGCCCCTGGCCCGTCTGACGCCATCGGAAGCTGTCTTGGGGGCCTCTCTGGGCCGACTGGGGGCCCTCTTGGGGTGCTCGAGGGCCGTCTTGGAGGCCATATTGGGCGTCTTGGAGGCCTCTTGGGCCGTCTTGGGGCCATCCTGAGGCGTTCTTGGGGGCCTCGTGGGCCGTTCTGGGGCCATCTTGGAGGCCTCTTGGGCGATCTTGGGACGATCTTTCGGTGCTCTTGGGCCGTCTCGGGCCGTCGGAAGGCCGAAGAGAAGCAAATGCCGATCTCTTTCAAACACCTAAGGAAAATCAATGATTTGGGCCTCTTCGGGCCAGAGGTCGTCTTGGAGGCCTCTTGGGCAGTCTTGGAGGCCTGGGCAGTCTTGGACCGTTTTGGAAGCTTCTTGTTCGGACTTGGGGGCATCTTGAACCCTCTTGGGCCGTCTTGGAGGCCATCTTGGACCATGTTGGGCCAACGAGACCATCTTAGAGGCCATCTTGAGCGGTCTCAGAGAATTGATTGCGGACGTTGAAGTCGTTTCTGGTCTCTTTCGGCGGTTTTCTGCAGGGCCGGCGCGCTGGGCCGAAGCTCCAGGGGGAGCTCTTCTTGAAAAGAACCAAAGAAAATCCAGTAGGCTCTAGCACGCCAGGCACCCCTGTGATGAATCAACAGGGGGCGGCGGATGACGGAAAGAACGAGGTACGAGCGAGAGACATTTCGCAGGGGGCGAAGCCCTTATAGGAAGGGAGTCTGGGGGTGGGGGCTAGCGGGGGAACAAAAGTCTAGTTGGCCTTTTCCTTTGTTTTTTCGATTGAAGCGGCTCCCGGGCGGCTCCCATGGTCCGTTTCCCCATATTTTCCTAGTGACGCGGCCCAAGGGCCCCAAGACGGCCCAAGAGGGCCCCAAAACGGCTTCAGAGGGCCCCAAGACGGCCCCAAGAGAGCTTCAGATGGCCTCCAGACGATCCAAGAGAGTTTCGAGACGGCTCCAGAGGCCCTCAAGAAGGCCCCCGAGAGGGCCTCAGGAGGCAAAAAAAACATTGTTTTCCTTAGGGTTTTCGCAGGTTGTTCTAGTTTTCCTTGTTGTAATCCCAGAAGGGCCCCAGACGGCCCAAGAGGCCCCAAATATTGTCCCAAGATGACCCCAGAGGCGCCCCAAAGGGACCCAAATGGTCCAAGAGGGCCCACAGACGGGCCCAAGACGGCCCAAGAGGCCCCAAAGATCGTCCCAAAACGGCCCCAGATGCTCCCCAAAGGACGGCCTCAAGAGAGCCCCAAGAGGGCCCCAAGAGGCTCCCAAACGGGCCCCAGGAAAAGGGGGAGGAGGACGAGAACGAGGAGGAGGAGGAGGAGAAGGACGAAGATCGAAAAGGAGGAGGAGGAGGAAGAGGAAGAGGAGGACGATAAGGAGGAGGAGGAGGAGGAGGAGGAGGAGGAGGAGGAGGAGGAGGAGGAGGAGGACGAGAGGAGGAGGAGGAGGAGGAGGAGGAGGAGGAGGAGCAGGAGCAGGAGCAGGAGCAGGAGCAGGAGCAGGAGCAGGAACAGGAGCAGGAGCAGGAGCAGGAGCAGGAGCAGGAGCAGCAGGAGGAACAGGAGGAGGAGCGCAGCGCCTCAGAAAGGTCTCCCGCCGCGCACGCGGGCGCGCGACGGACAACCCCTTGGCGCCGCCTACTCACGGCACGGTGCCGCAAGAGCAGGAGGCAATGTAGAAGGAGAGCAACTGGAAGAAATCGCCCTCAAGGCCGCGGACGCAGGCCAACTTGCCGCCGACGACGGAGGCGTCGCCACCGAAGAAGACGCCGTGCCACCAGCCGACCACGGAAAGGCAGCGAATCACGACATGGTCGATCAACGCGCCGCGTGGCTGCAAGAGGAGCCCCCTCTGCGGGGGCGGCGCTGCTAGGGTACGTCGGGCACGAGGCGCCAGGCCCCTCTCGACGCGTTTGATCGCATCTTGCTGGTTGCGGCGCGTGGACTCGTTGGGCGAAAGCCCATCGCACCTCAAACCAAGCTTCCGCACTGCGCGGACATCTCCCGCAGCACAGTGAGACCCGCAGCGCGTGCAACAGTAAGCACTGTTGCCCCTAAACACGTCGTGCCCAAGCGCAGCGAAGGCGTCCCCGACCTCCTCGGCCAGGGCAGGTGGCGTCGAGTCTGCGAGGGCCGAGGGCTGTGAGCTCCCGTCGAGCGCCAAGGCCGCGCCCAGGGCCATGCCAGCCCTCTGGTCGCTGCAGAGCAGAGAACCCAGCCCTCGCCGAAGGCGCGGAAGTACTCGGAGCCGAGAGCTCTGGCAACGCGCGAATGGCGACATACACGATGAGAGCCAGTTTGCAGCGACTCGAGGGAGGAGCCCGCTGTGGCCGTGACCCCGCATTGGGTACATCGGTACCGCCCGAGGCTGGCGCAGTAAGCAAGGATATGGTCCGCGCTGCGTGCCGCCGCAATGGGCCTGGCCTGCTCGCAAGGTGGCCTGGGGACCTCCACGTCGCACCCCCATTGTTTGCGAGCCACCGCCCGCAGTGCCGCCCACGAAATGAACTGCAGGACCTTGCAGTGCTGTTTCAGCGCAGCCGTCGCCGCCTCACCTACCGACCCAGCCAGCGCGCGAGAGGCCGCGCCACAGCGCGCGAAGTAGTCTGCCCCGCCGTTGCTTGGCCAGTCACGCAGCTCCTGCGGCTCTGTGCTCATGGGCCCCTTCAAGGACCTGTGCGCCGGCGTCCATCGGAACTCGGGGGGGGCCCGCAGAGCGCGCCTGCGGCTGGCCACGAAGATGTCCCACCACGCTCGAGCATGCTTGGCGCGACCCTGCTCGAGCTCGGGAAACCAGCGATCTCCTTCCGGGGCGAGCGCTGGCAGGTCAGTGACGAAGCGCTGGCGGTCAGGGAAAGCGTCGAGCCCCCTCCTGATCGCGCGCCTCTCAGCACGGCCGAGAGTCTGCACCGAGTGCGGAAGGGGCCCGAACCGCGCCTAATTGGGAGCCAAGAGGAAGGACCAAGCTGCACAACGGTTTGCCCACATCTCCGCACCCGGGGAACACCTGAGTCGTCACCAGACCCGCCGGCGTAAGAAACGGGGCCCCAGACGCCATGGGCGTCGCCCCAAAGGCAGACATCATGATTTCGCGCATCTTCGCGTGGCAGATAAGCGGGGGACTCGGGCATGTCAAAACGAA